TATTGCCAAGATAGCAAAGTAATTTTTATTCTTGTTTCTCCTATCTTCTCAAGTCACAAAATGAGAATTAATTTTTTTCTTCTGTATCTTATATATAAATCACGAATTTAAGAATAAACTGCCTTTTTGGGTATAACATTTCATTGGTTTTGAATGATTGTTAATTATTCTAATTCCATGTGAATTTACATTGAATTTTTAGGGAAGTACTATATTAATTTGGAGCCTTTTTCCTATTTCTTTAGGCCCAGATCATCACCACACTGTATGTTCATATCTGTATATGTTTCTTCTAAGTTGATTAAAGCTATTTTAGAACTATCAGGTACCTCAGAGGGTAAGTACATCTTTGATTATATCTCATTTCCCTTCCTCCTATTACCATGTATCAGCCAATAATGATACTTTTTTCTCTACTTCCACAAAACGAAAATATAGGAAAGATCTTCCTTGCAAGTGCAATGATTGATGACTTACAATTTCTAAGAAAACCCAAATTATAGGGAGAAGGGACTGCCAGTGTTACACAACATCAAGAATTAATTCAGCTGAGGCTGGGTGTGGTGGCTCACGCCTGTAATCCTAGGACTCTGGGAGGCTGAGGAGGGAAGTTCGCTTGAGGTCAGGAGTTTGAGACTAGCCTGAGGAAGAGTGAGACCCCATCTCTACCAAAAATAGAATAATTAGGTGTGGTGGCATGCACCTGTAGTCCTAGCTAGTCAGGATGCTGAGGCAGAAGGATTGCTTGAGCCCAGGAATTTGAGGTTGCAGTGAACTATGATGATACTACTGTACTGTACCCAGGGCGACAGAGTGAGACGCTGTACCAAAAAACAAAAACAAACAAAAAGATTAACTGCTATTAGACACGTGTTCTTTTATGACTGTACCTCAGAGTTGTCCCTGAAAAAATAGCAACGGATCTAGGAATTCCTAAAGCTTTTAACCACTATTCCTGCTCCAGCCTTCTTCAAACCCTGTTCAAAATTAAATATATCATTTTTAAAATATTTTTATTTGAAATGTCTTTGATAACATTTAATCGTGTACTAAATTTTATCCATCTCCTTCTCTGAAAATCGCTGTGGAACAGATAGTCAAGTGAAAAATATGAAATGGTTGTTTTGAAACAGGATCTAGATTTGGTCAGAAAATACTCCTGAGAGAATGCTCTATCATTCTTGTTTTATGGCTGTAATCATCTTTGGTTGTTTGCTGAGAGTCCAGAAGAAAAACATGCTTCTAGTTGAAGAAAGTAAATAAGGCTACTAATAATCATTACAACTTAAATTTCTCACTGTATTCTGGTTTAAAAAGGGCTTTGCTATTTATGATCTCACAACTATTGTTTGGGACATTTTATAGAAATTTGAGGTTCAGAGGATATATGTGACTTGTCCAGTTTGTAAATGATAGGTTATGACTGGTATTTGGACCTTTGGTCTCCTGGACAACAATACCAAGCTGCCTTCCAGATGGAAACAACAAGCCTACTCATCTGTATATGTGACCCAGCTCAAAGCTGTTACCCAGCTAGTGTTCATGACTGCTTGTCACATTTGTTAAAGTGTTCTTAGCCTTACACATTTCCCACAGTCCCTAATTAGGGGCTTTCATCTGTCAAAAAGATGTTTATTTTTTCCCCATTTCTGTTAAAAATGTATATATAAGTATAATTGTTTAGCTTTGATAAATATTAATTTGATATTAATCACTCTTAACTAAGAGAAGTACATCGAATTCGTAATATACCTAGTAAGTTGAAAACAGAAGAATCAACACAGGAATAATTGACTTTCTAACCACTGTTGAAGTGAACCAGTATTGCCAAACTTAGACACGTATTTCTGGAAGTACAGTCTTTATGTAAGTACCTGGGAATGGCCTCATCTTTCCTGATCACAAGTTTCTGAGGGAAGAAAATGAACTTTTGACCAATAAGGAATGGAAAGCAGGGGCACAGTCTAGAAGGAACCTGAATGCTTCAGAACACAGGATGGTGTGAATTGCCCCAAATTAATGGAATGGATACTAAATTTTTAACCTTCTCTCTGTATCCTGACTGTAGTCATATCAGATCCTCCATTTGTTTGTTCATTCATTCAACAAATAATTGAGTACCTTTTATGTGCCAGTATTGGACATATTGAATATATCCAAAGATCCCTCTATTCTGGGATCTTTGTCTTGGAACTCAGTTTGATGGGAAAGAAAAACACTGAACAAGGAATTATAAGAATGGTCACTGCTACCAAAAAAAAAAAGTCCAGAGGTGCTACCAGAGCATATAACCAAGGGCAGAGGGAAGGTTTAGGGAGACCCTTCCTGGAAACTAGAAAGATGACTAGATATTGTTAGCTAAGCAAAGAATAGATTGGGATTAGGAAAGTTCTAGGAGAAAGAACAGCATGAGGGAAAGCCCTTAACACATTGACTGTCATGAGAGTTGGATTTAACTCACTCTAGTTTTGACCCCAGGGCTGTGTGAAGCAAATATAAAATCTGATGTTCTTATTGTTACGATTAATAGTGATAATTTGATTCTAAAAATGTGGATTAAATGAATAGAACTCAATAAATTTCATTTTTCTATTTATGTTTACCTTTAAATTACTCTCAAAGTTTGTATTCTATTTTTGTAATAAAACACTGTGGCCCCAAGGAAAAGTTTCTGGTTTTTGTGTGTGTGTGGCAGTCAATGTATTAACCAAATTAGAAAGTGGAAAATTTGGGAAGTTAAAAGTGGTACAGCTACATAGATTGTAGTAAGGTGAGAGAATGGTACATAAGGAGGTTGAGAATTTGGCAGGAATCAGATAGTGTAAGCCATGGGGAATATTTGAAAATTTAGAAACTTTATTCTGTGGGAAATGGGAAGTTAATTGAATGGTAAGAAATGGAGTGACAAGATCAGATTTGCATTTGAAAAAAGTTATTCTGGATTCAGTGTAATTGACATACACAAGAGTAGAAGTCTTTTTACCCTCAAGCATGAACAAATTCTGATCTGAAAGTCAGCATTATCTTTCAGTTTTAAAACATTAAACATATTGCTTCCCTGAGCTATACTGTAAAATGTTACTTTATTACTCTCAAGGGATACGTGACTTATCAAATCATAGGTATGTGAAATTAAGAATAGGACATAAAAAGTAAAGCAGCCAAAGGAAGTTATAAGGAGCTAGGCATAATGCTAATGCCAGCACCAAGATTGAAATTTAGCTTAAGAATTGAGGTTAATAGTATTTCCCCTCTGAAAAAATGCCATGGTATCTTTGTTGATTCTAAATAGGACTTTCAGTCAGTCCCTGAGATCTGAGCTAAGAATGCTTCATCAAAAGCAAGTTTAGAGGATTGATAAAATACTTGTATTGATTTGATTCAGGATCTACTTAAATGTACTTAATACTGAAATAAATATTGACCCACCTCTGTTCATTAATGTCATTTGACAGTCTGTAGACAAAGAATTACAGAATTTATTAATAATGAAATTATACATCCTTATCTTTGTTTCTCATTCCATTTGCATTGTAGGGATCAGTGGTACAGGGCAGCTTTGATTGGAGAAATCTCAATTACATTGAAATTCCAACCTACCTCTGAGGGCAAGAAGGAATTGTGATTGGGTTAGGACTTTGAGTTATCTGGAGTTCTGAAGCTTTGAAAGAAACAGAGAGAACCTTTTTCTTAAGTCTTAACAATTTTAATCAAATCCTTATTCTCCTTCATTGCTCAGTCTTTCTCTAACTCCGGATGATAAATTTTTATGAAGAGGTACCCTATTCACTTTGTTTAACACCAAACAATAATCACTTTATATGTAGTTATACATTTGCTTCACCATCAGCCTTTTTAGTTTTCACAAAACAACCTGTTCTTTCCATAAGTCTGATTGTAAACACAGTGGGAGCAAGGTCCAGATCTCAGTGGTCTCGATGTCCTCCCAGGGCCTAACAGAGTGTTTTGCATATGCTAGACACTTGGCACAACATAAATACATGTTGAATGAATGATTGCTTAGTAATAGCTATTTCCTCGTCTAGTTCTCCATTACCAATGGTCCACCTTTGTGAGTTACTGTGTCTTTGTACAGGGCACACTACTCATTTATTTAAATAATCTTAAAACAACTTGTGTACCAGGCACTATGCAAATTGCTGGCAGTGTATGGGGAGACAAGTGAATGGGCACAAACCAACAGGGAGCTGAGTTCTGGAGCTTGGCATCCTTAGTAGCCCTTTCCTATGTAAACATTCTCAAATCTGCACTAGAGTTCCCATGTCTGGACCAAGGTGTTCAGTTGTTAAAATTAAACAGACAGTTTTTTCCCAAATTGCATGAAAAAAATAAAGTAAGACTATAATTTCTTTAAGCCTTTTCACCCATAAAATTTTCCTAAACAATTGCTACTTCTGATAATACTGACAAAAGGCAACATAATAAACAAGTGGTAAACTAATATTAATGGAAAAACTTACAGAACTAACCATGTTTAACTTGAGGACTTTTTATAAAAAGTCCTCAAGTGCTGAAACTCTGATTTTATATTGTACACTTACATATACTGTGTGTATGAATGTGTATATATATATGTATATATACACAGGCATTTTTTTTGCCAGTAAAATTGCTCCTAGATTATATAATTTGATTAAATGTACAAATAACATTGTTTTCTAAAAAGCATTTTACCCTCCCACAAGAATACATAATGAGAATCACATCCTAAGCCAGTTTCCTAGCATTTTGTTCATAGTTGTCTTTCTCATACAGAACTCCTGAGAATTCTACTGCACCATAAGAGCAAATATTTGGTTCTAGAAAGGATGATGGATTCTCTAAACACCACTATACTGAATCCAGAAATAAAAATTATTCTCAACTTTGCCCCTTTATCATGCTCTGACCAAAAAAAGTAAATATGCTACCTCATTAAAGTAGTCTGCTCTATTGCCTCTTAGGGGGCATTATAGAAGAGAGAGAAAATACATTTGAATGGTGTTTTGAGAGTGAGTTTCAAACCCTTGAAGAAGTTAAAGCTGAATAAGATACTGGTCTTTATAGTTTGTCATATATAGAAGAAGAAGGTAGCCTTTTAATTTGAGATGAGAGAAAGTCCTGGCTATAGTTTTTCTTATAATAGCATTAATAGAGATAAGTTACTTCAAAAATCTTTGCATTCATCTTATATGAACAGTTAATAGTGTAATAAGCAACAAGCGCAGTAGATTTCCCTGAAAAGCACTTGGTCATCTTGAATCAGCCAGGAAGTAGTTGAATGGAATAATTTCAGTCACCTTTATTCTCATCTTTTCATTTGACTATCTCATTGGAGATGAATCCATTTACTTTTTGTAATTTCCCACTGTGCCTAGTACATAAGAATGAGATCAGTTGGCTTTTTCTTATTTAACATTCATTCAACAAATGTTCTTTGAACTGCTCTGGTGTGCCAAGCATCGAGTTGGTCACTGAGTTCTAAGAAGCAGTTAACACTTGGCATAGCACTTACAGTATTCCACATGTGTTTTAAGCACTTGATATTATATTAGGCACTTGTTTTTTCCATTTTACAGATGAGGAAAATGAGGCACAGGGAAGTTCTGTAGTTGGCCCAAGGTCACTTGGCTAGTAAGTAAGGAGACAGGGATTAGAGTCCATGCAGTCTGCCTCTGAGTCAGCCCTCAACCACTGCTGTCCTGCAGTGCTTACTTGCCCACACCTTAGCCTTTTGTGAGCTGCCTTCACCTCTGTTGCATGAACATTTGAGGCTGAATTTGTGGTGTTTGTTGATGAGTACTCTGGCCTTTGCTGTATATGAGTGTCTGGCACTTAAAAAGTTCTTGATATACATGTGTTGAAAGAATGATTATCGGCCGGGTGCAGTGGCTCATGCCTGTAATCTTAGCACTCTGGGAGGCCAAGGTGGGTGGATCATTTGAGCTCAGGAGTTCGAGACCAGCCTGAGCAAGAGCGAGACCCCGTCTCTATATAAAGAAAAAAAGAAATTAAGTTTAAAAAAAAGAATGATTATTGACAACCAAGAGAATTTAAGGTGTGATGTTAAGAGAATTTGACATTATTTTGGTTGTTCCTCTAATTAACTATGAAAAAAATACTGATGGCTAAAGATTTTAGTTGCTCCATGATCTAGTCAGTAATAGCCAAACGTGTGTGTACCTGTGCTGTGAGGTCACACACAGGTGCATTTGTATACATTTATATTATACAGAGAGAGGAAACTAGAGTTTTCCTCTTTGCATTGACATTTCATCACTAGATGTGTTGCCAGTTGGAACCACCTTTCCTGCTTTGTTCTATTGCCCCTCATGATTTGTCCTCTTGTGTGTCACCCCTTAGTCTGACAGTACTGCACAAGCCTGCCTGCCATGGGCTGTCGGGATGTCCACGCAGCCACAGTCCTGTCCTTCCTTTGTGGAATCGCCTCGGTAGCAGGCCTCTTTGCAGGGACTCTGCTTCCCAACTGGAGAAAATTACGATTGATCACGTTCAACAGAAACGAGAAGAACCTCACTGTTTACACAGGCCTTTGGGTAAAATGTGCTCGGTATGACGGGAGCAGTGACTGCCTGATGTACGACACTACTTGGTACTCATCAGTTGACCAGCTGGACTTACGTGTCCTCCAGTTTGCCCTGCCCCTCAGCATCCTGATTGCAATGGGTGCCCTGCTGCTTTGCCTGATTGGAATGTGCAACACTGCCTTCAGGTCTTCGGTCCCCAACATCAAACTGGCCAAGTGTCTGGTCAATAGTGCAGGTTGCCACTTGGTGGCCGGTCTGCTGTTTTTCCTGGCAGGTACCGTGAGCCTCTCCCCATCTATCTGGGTCTTCTTTTATAACATCCATCTGAACAAGAAGTTCGAGCCAGTCTTTGCATTTGACTATGCAGTGTATGTCACTATTGCCAGTGCTGGGGGCCTGTTTATGACTTCCGTTCTACTGTTTATTTGGTATTGTGCATGCAAATCTTTGCCTTCTCCTTTCTGGCAACCACTGTACTCCCATCCTCCCAGTATGCATACTTACTCGCAGCCCTATTCAGCACGCTCCCGCCTCTCTGCCATTGAAATTGACATTCCAGTAGTTTCACACGCCACCTAATGGGGAAATAGTTAATTGTTAGAGAAAACTTGTAGCCTCACATTCCTCTTGTGCAAGGAGCTCTTTGGCCCTATGTACATTTTCCTTTGTTTCTGACCAGTCAGTGAAGCCAAATTTTTATGTCGCGATAGAATGAAGTGCTGCTGGTTTTTATGAGAAGTACGTTATTTTACATGTGAATCAATCCTTTTATCTTTTACTGGAAGGATTTTTAGCCTTCATGTCGATATGTGATCAATTCTTTAAGTAGAAAGGACCTCTGTCACGATTGAGGTGATTTAGAGCAACATGTTAAAGAAAGATGGCTCAGAGAAGCTGTTGTATACAATCTATAAATATTTTGGAGTGTGTATTGTCCTTTTTCTATAACACCTTAGACTGGAAAAAAGGCAATTTTAAATATAAGAAATTTCTTTCAGATAAGGGGGTGATATTTTAACAGTAGTCAATAATCTACCAGTTTAAGACTAACTTTTCTCTTGGGGCTAATTGTATGAATAGGCGTCAGTAGGTTGAAGATTACTTTCTTTTGTGAGTTCCTTCTACCTCATGCAAGTGCTTAGAAATAAAATGCATTTTAAATGATGTCAGAATAACATTCTAAATATCTGCTACTTATGGATAAGATTTAACACAACTTTTAAAGTTAATGATTCCATGAATTATATTATTGGAGTTAAAATGTGCCATATGACAGGCTCATGTTTCCTTGAGGCAGAAATCAGTTCCCAGGCATCATTCACCAAGCTGTACTTATGTCCATACACAATCTCTTAGTGACTAAGAGAAGGAAATAAAAGGGCCATAATGGTTTGTTCTCTTTCAGACATAAGCGTAGGGGACAAGAGTCTGTTCTTCAGTGACAGCATCAGAGATTGACTCTGTTGACTACCTTTTGAGTGATGGGTGCAGTAAGGTGTGGCTTTACCGTGACCACATTCACACTTGATTCATTTCCTGCTCGTATCACTGTTATTTCCTGGAGTATGTACCTGTGCCCAACGCTTTAGTAGGTGCTACAGAGGATACTTGAAAAGTATTAGACCTGGTCCCATCCACTAAGACATTTTAATAGAGAAGATCAGACTGTTACTTGACAGTCAGGGAACAGTCTGACTTCACTGGAAGCTGGCCTTAACTTTTCAATCATTGATCCAGGAATATATTTATCCAGAGACATGAATTCCTGGCAGATACAATAATTGTACAACACCAATATCCTGGACCTAGCAATTCATTTACTTCAATCCTTGGATCCTTAGGGCACCTATCTTAGCACAGATGTTGTAATAACACTTTTACCAATTCATGAGAAATTGTTTCCTTTCCACCTCTGAAAGTATTATGATGTATTAAGGAGGGAGGAGTTTTTGAAATCTCTCTTCTGGTGAGGTAACAATTGGATAAAACCATGTTAAAACTGAGATGAACACTTAGAAATTCAGGGATATTGGTCATTAGCCATATGAATTTGAGCTGCTTATTTAATTAGTGTAATTTGCTTAGCACTATGTTCCTAAGGATTTTATTTTATTAACCATTACAGATTTTACAAACAGCTAGTTGTATGGTAAACAGATTATTATGCCTTTTTGCAAACCTGAGAATGATTCTGGTATTTGTGTAGATGATATAGTTGGTACCTTTTTTTCCCCCTAATTCCAATACTAGTAGATGTATATAGCAAATCCAGTTGTATAATTTTTAAATGCCATCAGTAGGAAGTATACGAGACTATGGGTTTTCAGTTTTGGCTTCTGATTCCTTTCAGTTCTTTTTTTTTTTTTTTTGTATGACACAGGGTCTCATTCTGTCTCCCA